GCCATAAAATCAATGTCGTCATAGTGATTTAAGTGATATCAGCTGTATTTTTTTTATGGGCGATCCTAGGTCTGCTCCCATAACTCTCAAATATAGAACACTCCCTTTGCTTGGTGGTGGGCCAACGACGAAGCTAGATTCGCGTCGAGCTAGCAGCAAAGACAAAAGAGGAAAAGCAAATTTCTATTTTCCCTCTCTTATATAGCCATTTACTATGACAAATCGATACTCATCTGCACAATACCTCATACTTACATCATTGACGTCATGGGTATGGGTCGTGATCGTGACAAATGGATGCCTCGTGACTAGGGTTCTAATTATACCGTATAATTAGGGTGTCCAGGATTACCGTATTTCTGTACCCGGGGTATTCCCCTAGCTCATATTATGTACCCGGGTACTCGTGTGTGGGGATACACCGTATGAATACTTCTATGTATTTAATATGTTTTACTATTAAATGCCCGGATATATAAATATGATATCCTCATACTTATATAAATCAAGATTTGGCATCCAAAATCGCCGCAGGGTACAGCTCACAGGGGGTACACATGTCGCAGGAATACGGTATGCTACTAGCATAATTCAAGTTTGCTAGCATAATTATGCTAGCAGCAGAATTTAGCATAATTTATATTTGCTACGTAGCATAAAATCTAGCATAATTTGGATATTTTAATAATAGAGTATACTATATATATATTATCTAATACATTTCATTTTGAATCTAAAAAGATTACTGCGCTTTTCAAAAAAAATTGATTCGTGGCGTAATCATGTGACCCGTAAAATCGGTGGTCGCCCTGGTCGTTATGCGATCGATCAACGATTTCGAAAAAAAAATTTAATTTTTCAGGGGGTATAGGTGATACATACGTATAATAATCATAAGTCCTACAGATTTTATACTATTTTCGTCATTCTCAACCTTGGAAAATTATGGCCGTTAGTATTTACCTGTAAATTTGATTTAAGTTGATGATTGACTACTAACAACACCTAAAAGTTCCTTTTATGCTTCAAATAGAGCTTTTTTAACTTCAGTGCGCCAGTTGACATTGACGTTCGATTCAATGGTGAAGAGAGTAGAAAGTTAGTGGAGGTAAAGATTGACAAGGACCGTCGGGAGAAATTCCCTTTATACTTTGATGGTGAAACAGTAGCTGGAAGAGTAAGTTGTAATGTCTGATTCGTTTTATAAATTCGTTTTATAATAGACTAGAATAACAGGTGTCAAAAATATGTGTTAACAATCTTAAAATCATTATTATAGGTGACCATTAGACCTCGAGACAACAAAAGACTTGAACATCAAGGCATTAAAATCGAATTTGTTGGAAACATCGGTAAAGGATCGACTTGTCTATAAATCAAAGATTCTATATAATTACGCGCTAATTGATTTAATTATGTGTGAAATTATGTTGTTAAATGTAGAGCTATTTTATGATCGTGGTAACCATTATGAATTTACAGCACTTGTTCAAGAATTGGCTGTACCCGGTGTGATGCAGCAACCACAATATTTTGACTTTGAATTCAAAAATGTTGAAAAACCATATGAAAGTTACCATGGAATAAATGTCAAGCTGAGGTAATTATTATATAATTATTCCATGTAATTTTGAACTAAGATATTGATCTGGTCTAATATATTTTTTAGATATTTCGTACGCGTAACCATTTCAAGGCGTTTAACAGATATTGTGAACGAGAAAGACATATGGGTATATTCGTATCGTATGCCATCAGATAGTAATAGTTCTATTAAGATGGAAGTGGGCATTGAAGACTGCTTACATATTGAATTTGAGTATAACAAATCAAGGTATTATTATTGTATATTTTAGACATATAATATTCTATCATTTTGTTAATAATTTATTTAATTTATACAGATACCACCTTAAAGACGTCATTGTAGGAAAGATTTACTTCCTACTTGTTCGTATAAAAATTAGACATATGGAGCTATCTATTATTCGCCGTGAAACAACAGGAGCAGGTAATTATTATTCTTAATAAAATAATTTTCTATTGTAGACTATTGTATGTGAATTTCTTTATTTATTTGAATTATTTAGCGCCAAATCAATATAATGAAAGTGAGACGATTACCAAATTTGAGATTATGGATGGTGCGCCAGTACGCGGTGAGTTAATGTATGGCATAGCTCTTGGTGCATAACGAACAACTAATAAATTTGGGTCTATATTTGTTGATCAGGTGAGACGATTCCTATTCGCCTGTTTCTCGGTGGATTTGAGTTGACACCAACCTTTCGCGATGTAAACAAAAAATTCTCTACACGTTATTACCTTAATCTTGTACTCGTTGATGAGGAAAACCGGAGATACTTCAAACAACAAGAAATTACCATTTATAGAAGAAGAGGTAATTTCACGAGCTGATATCTTTTTTTTTCGTTCATTTAAACTTAACACTTTTTTGTGTTTATAGTTGATGATGGCCTTCCAGCAGAAGATTAATAAAATTAAAGTCTATCTGAAAAGTTACGATGGTTTTGATTAATTATTTTTAGGATATTTGTAGAAACTAATTATCTTGTAATTTTTGTATTGTGTATATGTATTAGTTATTAGTATTTATCTTCGATTATATAGTAGAGTAAATAAATTTAGTTGATACGTAATCGTAAGGTAATTAAGCAAATTGATGGACAATTGCATATTGGATTGCTTCTTAATTTAATGCCATTGCAGTGCAGGTTTCATGAGCTAAGCGAACGTACTTAGTGCATTATCATCCGCCGTTTTTCCTTTTAAATTCGATGAGACCTACTATACTATAAATTGCAACGATCCTGTTACACATCTTTTTTGTAAAATTGTACAACCTTCACTAAAAAAATTGGTTCATGACATAATAATATAATAAATAATATAAAAACACAAGAATTTAGTTTGACCTTTTGGTCTGAGTTATTTCTTGAATAATGGACAGCCTTTCTTTTGAAGAAGTGAAGTATGTCTTTAACCTCCTTTCTTCTAAATTTTCAGGAGTATGGCTAAGTAAATAAAATCGGATTGCAACATCATCTAGAGTCAAGTGGGATGTTATTTTTAAGGACCCTTTACTTTCCCTAAGCTCTTTACGTGAGAAAGGATATAATGGAAATATTTGTTCTCAGGGTTTAAGATCTATTTGCTGGAAAGTGGGTATTTCTTCCCTTTTTTGAGTAAATTTTTTGCCTTTTGCAATAGAATTAATATCCCTGACAATTTTTATATATAGCTATATTTGGCTTACTTGCCAAGTTTAGACACCGCAACTTGGTCTCTTACTCTTAATAAAGAACGACAGCATTATGCGGATCTTCGCCAAAAGTATATTACAAGTCCAGCTACTGATAACGAAAGTGATAGTAACGCGACTGATTTAAGCATTAATAATCCATTGTCTTTGGACCAAGCTGTATGTGATCGAATCAAATATTTTATTGAATGGAAGCGTAATGTTAATTTGTCGAAGATTTTCTTTTAGAACCCTTGGCAAGAGTATTTCAAAGATACGGAGTTACGAAAAATCATTAAGCAGGATGTGGAAAGAACGTAAGGTGTCATGCTATAACATATATATATTATACTTGTGGGTGTACCTATTTGTAAAAGTTAAATTTTTATAGATTTCCAGAAAATGAATATTTTCGTTCCACATCTGCTCAAAATCGACTACTCGATATTCTTTTCATTTATTGTAAAATGAATACCGATGTGTCATATCGTCAAGGAATGCACGAACTTTTGGCTCCAATATTATGGGTTGTTGATAATGAAAGTTTGTCCAGTGCAAATGGATACACAATGGTGAATGTTGAAGACGCTACAATTAGACAAGCATTGAGTGCAGATTATGTAGAACATGATACTTTTGCACTCTTTTCCTCGTTAATGAAATCTGCTAAAGTTTATTACGAATATAATGATGAAGTGTTCAATCGTAGACCTGCTAAGGTGTGTGCACAGCTCTTATATTGAATATTTTCATGCATAAATTTATAAGAGTGTTTAAATTTGTAGCGCGCGGGTCAAAGCTCAGATGTTGATTATGCTCGTTTAATAAAAGAAGTACAGGCGGAGGTACATTAATAAATATCATTTATTATCGCATATTACCTATTTGTACATAACAGTTAATATTTATCATATAACCGATTTATTGAAATTTATAAAAGGCTGCAAAATTAACACCCGTGGTCATGAAATGTAATAAAATTCACGATGAGTATCTCAGAACAATTGACCTTGGATTATATAATCATTTGAAAAATTTGGAAATTGAACCTCAACTTTATGGAATGTATGTCTTTTTTTTTTTTTTTTTTTTTATTATAAATTTTAGTATATATTGTCACTGACCCTTTTTCAAGGTAAGTAAGCTTTCAAAAGGTATCCAGATATCGCAACCATCATGTCATCTTAATTTGCCCTTCATGTTTACAAATTCCTTTTGATAAAATGGGTTACAGTGACTGACCACACGCGCTTAATTAAATGCTACAATTTGATTAACAATTATTTTACATTACAGACGTTGGATAAGACTTCTCTTTGGACGCGAGTTTCCTTTAAATCAGGTTTTAATATTATGGGATGGAATGTTTGCTGAAGATCCGACACTAAGAATTGTCGATTTCGTATGTGTGGCACTTATGCTACGTATTCGTGACGAGTGTAAGTATATAATAATGAAATTTTATTAATATTTGATACTAACAGACATTTCTATCTCATTCCTATCATTATTCTACCAGTACTTGAATCAGATTATGCAGGGTGTTTAAGCATGTTAATGCGCTTTCCTTCAATAAATGATGTCGAAGTGCTCGTCCCGCAAGCGATATATCTTCGTGATCATTTATCATCTGAAGGTGGTAATTATATAATTCAACAAAATGCAATCAGGTTACGAAAACCTACAATTCCGATTCAGATTCCTGTCCAACGAGAACCCAATCGTATTGAAGGTTTGGTACCTGATGGATTTGTTCATGTGACTAAAAATAGCGCCGTGATACTCAATAAAGCTATTTTGTCGGCGGTAGGAGAAGTAAAAGTAAATTATTCTTTTTTTTTGTATTTGCAGAATGAGGTATCAGATTATCTGAACCCGTATAAAAAATTTTTTTGTAGAAAAATGTTCTTCGTCGCCCTGAAGGTCAATATGATCATAAAAAACGCCAAAGTACGTCTGATTTTCCCCAAAGATATGCACATTCTTATCAACATACAGTACATGAAACAGAATCTCATCAAAATTCAGAAGATATCTTAAAACTTAAGGAACAAAATCGACAAATGGGAATCGTAGTGCAAAGAAGTATTAATATTCTTGAACAAGAAATATTGGTAAAAACAAAGTCTAAGGAAGAAGTTAATGCAGTGGATGCCGATAAGATTGAAAAGAATTCAGATGGAACGACATCTCGCTCTTCATTCGAATATATCGCGGGTAACAACAACGAAGAATCTAGCATACCAACTTCAAATGAGATTTCGATTCTTAACGTTTTACACGGACTTAAGCACGTTAGGGATGTACTTAACGGGTCGGTTAAAGAATTCAATCCCCACATTCTAGATTTAACAAATAACAATGCAGAAGATCATGATCATTGGGAAGTCGTTGATGATGGTGTCAGTGTGGTGAGCATGGCCGGGACGGAAGATGAAACTGCATCTGTAACTAAAGAGGTTCAAATAAAGCAAGAAAAGATTGTACCTACTGTAAACGCATCCAAAGCATCAATCTCAGAATCTACTCTTAAGAAAGATGTTGAAACACCTCAATCATCATCACCACCACTTTCTTCATTTTCATCACTGCTCACAGACGAAACATCGTCACAATCTACATCATTACAACAATCAAATCCGTTAGCTGATCAAATTAAAATATCTAATTCAGTTGACGAAAAACCGAGTTTAATATCAACTACGCAGTCTCGATCATCACCTAGAGGAGTAAAACCAACATCAATTTCATTACCTAAATCAAAGGTCAAATTGAATGATGCAGACAAGCGTAGTGTTGGTACACCAAAATCTTCCATTACATCTAATTCAAAATATAGTTGGATTCTTGAAGGTTGCACAGAAGATGACGATAATTCATTATTTAACCCAAAAAGAAGTAGTAACGTAGGTATTAGTGGATTATCCAGCTATTCTTCCGAACGTGTGAACTATGGATACCTGGATAGATCAATAGAGGACGAGGACCAATTTAACAAATCAAACTTAACACCAAGGCGTTCAAAAAATACTGAACGTAATAGAAGTGAAAGTATAGGATCAGTATCTTCAACGAATAATTTGAAAAAAGCTAATAACAATGTAACACCTGAGATTCCCGTTGAAGATCCTTTAGGTGTTTTATAATGCTAAAAATTGTCGATTTGTAGAGTTATATGGTATTTTTTTTTTTTTATAACTATATAATGTTATCGTAGTATTATACTCTGTATTTATATTTATATACCAATTAAAATTCTAATAATATTATTTTTATTACACTCGATAATCATTAGAGGACAAATGTTTTCAATTTCAAATTATTAAAGATTAGTTTAATTAAGATATGCATGTGAATCAGAAATCTTTTATAGTTATTCGGAATCTCAAACAATTTTAATCATTACCAAATACTGAATTATATATTGGAATAAATAAAAAAATAAAGTCAAAAATGTGTAACTATGATGATTATGAAATAGTGCAGCAACTATTCGTCTAAAAAAAAATAAAAAAAATAAAAAATTAATATTAAGTTTTTACCAAATGATTATAGCAAAACAATATACAAACCTTCTTCGCTTGTTTATAAAATGCTTTTGATTGAAATGAAATTTCTTGAGATCTATCAATAAGGTCATCCAACTTTTCACCACGTTGCAAGAGGCTTTCAATTGTCTTGTTCTAAAATGGGTAAAAAATTTGAAACCTTTCTAAAATTATACGTAACTTTAAAAAATACCGACGTACCATAACTAATTTAGTTTCATCTAATTGTTCCTGAACTTTTATAATTTGATCAGCCTCTTTTGGATCTTGATATTTTGTCAAGTAAGTTTTAAGTTCGGGATAAGAAATTGTTTGTGATTTCCACGTATTTGGATCAAATTTTGTAAGAAATTCGTCGAGAACTCTACTCAACAAAGAAAAAGCTACTCGTTGCGGATACTCGTTATCACAAATAATGATTCCAGCAAGGCCTTCGGTTCTTGCGTGAGAATAAAATATGTAGTCTAACAAGAAAAAAGTTAACTTTGAAACTATAAACCAATTTAAATTAGATACAAAAAGTTAAACGTACTGTTCTCTTCAACGCTCAACCTTTGTCCTGGTTTTGTTCTTTCTGCAACGGTTTTTGAAAAAAACTTCATAAACTCTTGAACACTACATAATAATCAGATGAGTTAAGTTGATGTCACTATAAAAAAAATATATATATATAAATATATGTATAAATGTAAAACTATCAACCTTCCACGTTGAAAAAATCCAAAACCAGAGAGTTCATATTCTCCTGCCAAATTTACTGCCTCTTCTTCTTTAGAAAATACAGTAATAGAGTATATTTTCATATTTAGCTTTAAAAGTTTTCAATATGTAAAAGTGACGAAAGAAATTTTTATGTATTGGTAAAGATAATGTGTCGCAGCATATCGGATTATTTTTGGTTAAACTATGATGAAAATCTTTTTGGATATTAAAGAAATGTATTAAACGGTTAGTACAAATTACAAAATTGTTAAGGGTAGGGTGTACGTAGATCATTTTTCATATGATCTACGTGGTATATTAGATTTTTATATAGTAAATAAAAAA